AGAGCCTGGAGAGGGAGCAGCCGGCTGCGCTCTCCTCCGCATCCATCCAGGACTCGCTCGCCACGAGCGCGGTAAGGCCGGGCCCTGAGCTCCTCACCTCGAGTGTGCCTGTCTGCAGGACCTGAACCCCGCAGGTTCCCCGTGCTGCAGGACCTGAACCCCGCAGGTTCCCCGTGCTGCAGGACCTGAACCCCGCAGGTTCCCCGTGCTGCAGGACCTGAACCCCGCAGGTTCCCCGTGCTGCAGGACCTGAACCCCGCAGGTTCCCCGTGCTGCAGGACCTGAACCCCGCAGGTTCCCCGTGCTGCAGGACCTCCAGTATTCTGAAAGCACAAAAAAAAAAGACCCTAAAAAGCGATATGAGCAGAATCTTTAGTTAATTTCTTTAAGCCAGGACACAGACCTGTTGAAAGTCTCTTTTCTTCTTTGCTAACAAGTAGGGCTTGGATGTCACATAAAATCATAGAACCATATTGTCAACGAGGTTGGAAAAGACCTTTAAGATCAAGTCCAACCATTCCACCAGCACTGCCAAGGCCACCACTAACCCATGTCACTGAGGCCTTGTCTACACAGGGTGTGAACACTTCCAGGGATGGTGACTCCAGCCCTGCCCTGGGCAGCCTGTTCCAATGCCTGAGCACCCTCTGGGGAAGGAATTGTTCCTAATATCCAACCAAAACCTCCCTTGGTGCAGCTTGAGACCGTTTCCTCTTGTTCTAATCATGCACCAGGGAAAGGCAGAGCAGGTTGGGGAGATCAGAAAGGAAAGGAAAACTGGGATAGGAAACTATTCTCACTCAACCCTGGTGGTCTCAAAGCATGCACTGATGTTCCCAGGGGTGGTCCAGTCTCTTCACATGAGTTCAGTTTTGCTCAAGAACCTTCTAAACCACCATCCCTTTTGTGTGCTTCCCACAGAAGCTGAAGCAGGACATCGCCCGGCAGAAGAGCTGCCTGGAAGCCACTCGGGAGATGGTGACACGGTTCATGGAGGCAGCAGACAGCCCCACGGCCTCTGCCCTGCAGGACAAGCTGGCAGAGGTGACGGAGCACTTTGGGAGGCTGTGCCAGCAGCAGCGGGACAGAGAGGATGCGCTGAAGGGCCTCCTGCCCAAGGTGGAGCAGTACGAGCAGCTCTCAGAGAAGCTGCAGCAGTTCACCGAGAGCAGAGCACGGATGTTGGCATCTGGGAATCAGCCAGACCGGGACATCGCTCGCTTCTCCCAGCACATCCAGGTGAGATGCGTGGGGAGGAGCCCCCATCTGTGTCAGGGCTGTTTTGCTGTGATTCCTTCCCAGTCTAGCAGGATCCATGGGAGGCTCTTTGCCTAGGAAAGGGAGCATGTCCAGGGTGGCTGAGGCTGTTTCCAGCAGGGAGAGAATAGTGTTTCCCTGGAGCTAGTCAGGTTCTCGGAGGGGATCTCTAGCCAGTCCAGATACAGCAAGGTGTTACCAATTAAAGACTCCATGGGGTTAATACAGCAGAAGACCCATGCTGGCAGTACATAGGATGTGACAAAGCCCTCAGAGATGCTGTGGGTCATGGAGACCGGTCATGGCTTCATGGGATTCCTCCCTTGGGCTTCCTATGAGTTCTCTGCTGTGGGGAGTGGTTTGGCCACAGCCTCAGAAATGCTCTAAGCTGGCATAAAACCAGACACTTGTGTTGGGGAGGGGGGTTGGTTTGGTTTGGTGTAGGGTCCCCCCATCCCCTTCACTGCATGGCCTTGCACCAGCACTGAGAAAGGTGGGATTTACCCTGTGTTTGCCATAAGCTGTGCCCACCTGCTTCTGGTGCACCTCATGGTGATGCCCACAGAGGGTCTCTCCAGCTCAACAGGACACGGGGCTGTCTGGTTCATCCTCTCTGCCTAAGTCTGGGGCACAGTCATCATTACTCTTTGCTTCTGGCAGGAGCTGAATTCGGAGCTGAGGCAGCACCAGGAGGACCTGGCTGTCCTGGAGAACCTGGCTGCGGAGCTGGGCTCCTGCGGCTTCGCCCCTGGTGCTTCCCAGCAGCAGGAGAAGCTGCAGAGCCTGAAGAAAGACTTCCTGCAGCTGCAGACGGTGGCAGAGGAGAGGTGAGTCCCAGGGACCCATCGCTCCTCGGGGAAGTGATCAGAGCAATACCCCTTGGAGAGGGGAGATGATCTTTCCACGGGGGGGCATGAGTGAACCCTTCCTGCCTCCTCCTCCCACTCCAGGAGCTGGAGGCAGCTCAGTTCGCTCCAGCTGACGCTTTATAAAAAGCCTTGGCTGGGGGCGTTGTGAAACATTCCTGGTGCTGCAGGAGCCGCGTTCCTGCGCTTCCCGGCGTGTGGGCTGCCGCAGCTCCAGCCTGGAGCATCCTGCCACAGGGGAGGTGGGGGCTGGCACAGGATCGGGAGCCTGCCCCAGGTGTGCTCTCATCTCTGGAGGTGACAGAGCAGAGCAGCCTGTTTCCAGCTCTGCTCAAGTGGAGATAAGGAGGAGCTTTAGCAGCAGCTTGAGCTTGAGTTGGCCACAGCAGCTTGAGCGACAACTTGCCTGTGTCCAATGGGCTCACACCTCCCAGGCTGTATCTCCAAACTCCCTGGTGAATAGGGGGAAGGTGATGGGGCAAAGCAGATCACAGAATCACAGTCTGGTTTGGGTTGAAGGGACCTTAAAGCTCATCCAGTTCCAACCTCCTGCCACGGACAGGGACACCTTCCACTAGAGCAGCTTGCTGCTGGCCTTGAACACTGCCAGGGATGGGGCAGCCACAGCTTCTCTGGGCACCCTGTGCCAGCGCCTCAGCACCCTCACAGGGAAGAGCTTCTGCCTAAGAGCTCATCTCAGTCTCCCCTGTCAGGTTAAAGCCATGCCCCTTGTCCCATCACTATGAATCTCATGACAATCCCCAGTCAGTCCGTGCCGTGCTGGCTGCTCGCAGCTGCGGTGGGTGAGTGTGGAGGGGCCTGTGGCTCCTGTCTTGTCCTTGTTCCTGTGGGATGGGCTGAATAGAACAGAGCTGTGGCCAGGGAGGAGGGGCAGCATCCCCCCTGCAGCTGCCTGGGGCCAGAGGCATGAATGAGCTCTGTCTTCCCAAAAGCTTCTCTTCCTGTGGGACAAAGAGCCCGGCACAGAGCCAGTGCAGGTCCCGCGGTGGTCCATCGCTGGTGGCTACCGCGGTGATGCCAGAGTGGTCCCCAAAGCACCACCAGCTGCGGCTTGAGGGGTCCAGCAGTGGTGAGGGGCAGGCTGGCAGACACCCTGCTTCGGCTGGCACTGCCTGCGCTGCTCCTGAGCAACATCTACTACTAATAGTAATAAAGGGCTCCTAGAGACACAACTGTGCCGCATTCAGGCTGGGTAATTACAAGGCAAAGCACGAGCTCTGACTCTCCAAAACCTTTTCACTCCCAGAGAAAAGGATGCGTCGTCCTGCCAGGAGCAACTGGATGAGTTTCGGAAGCTGGTTGGGGCTATGAGGAAGTGGCTGAGGGAGAGTGAAGGCAAAATGCCGCCCGCTGAGACCTCCCTGGGCACCCAGGAGCTGTACCAGCACCGGCAGCAGATCCAGGTGGGCAGAGGGAGCTGGAACCAGACTGGGAAAGTTGGCAGCTGGTGTGGAAATGCTGGAATGGTGGAATAAATCCCAGGAAGCAGAGTCCTGGGAGGTGATTAATGGTGTCAGGAATCCTGGGCTCCCCTGTACTGGCGGCGGGGCTGTCCTGGCTGCTGGGCTGCAGCCTCTGTGGTGTGTGAGCATCCAGTGGTCCCTGGTTTGCAGAGAACAGAGCAGTGTGAAGGTTCTGTTGAGCAGTGTCTGGTTTCCCTTCCTCCCCTGCCTGCTCTGGGTGGGATTTGGGAGTGGGAGACCCAAGCACATTCATTTTCACTGAGTGTTTCCCTCTCACTAGACAATGGAAGGTGTCCTGTCATCTGAGCCCCCGCTCCTCGATGCTTTAGATCAGGATGTGCCAAGGGTTTGACTCAGAGGCAGAGCAGCGTCTGCTGAGTCACCCACAGCCCTCGCACCCCACGGCACGTCACTGGGCTCCCCACGGCACATTGGGCTCTGGCACCCCCGGGCTCTGCCAGGACTGGATTCAGCAAGGCTGGGTTGTGCAGAGAGGAGGAGGGAGGTCCCAAACCAGTAGGAGGGAGAAGAGGGTTTCCTTCAACAGACCCGATAGTTAGGGAAGAGCTTTTCACTCCTTGATTTCCCCTGACAAAAATAAACATGAAGACACCCACTTCCCCAGCGCAGTCTGCTCGCCGGGCTCCAGTTCCATGAGTGCCATGTCCTGGTGCCACCGAGTCACGGCAGAGGTGATGGGTGAGGAAGGGAGGGCTGCAGCCAGGCAAATGACATCCCCAATCCCGGCCTTTGTTCTTGAGCAGGATCTGCTAGAGGAGTGGAAAGGGAAGGGGGCTCAGGTGGAGGAGATCGGCCGCAGAGGGACCCTCCTGGAGAACCTGATTGTGGAGATTACAGCCCCTGACACCCCGTCCAAGGCAGGTGAGTCGCAGCCACTCTCCTGAGGATACCTCCTTCCTTAGCTCTCTCTTTGCTCTCGCACTGAGCCTGCCTCAAGCAAAAAATGGGGCTGTTTCCCCCTTCTAACAGACTTCAGGGGGCCTGTGGTGGTCCAGCTATCATGGAGCTCAACCCCATGGTCAGGTCGCTGGTGCTTGCTACATTAAGGCATCAGCTGAGCGCTCGGAGCCCACACACTTGGCTTGATTTGCTGTAGCATTAACAAGCACTGAATGACTGAATGTGAGCCCAGCGTGGGGACAGGGGCAGCTGCTCGGATGGAGCATGGGAGCTCCAGGCTGAGGGAGCTCCTGGAGGCAGCTCCTGCTTTCCCTTTTGATGTGTTTCAGGCTCCTGGAGGCTGGAGTGTTTCAATCAAACTCCAGTCTCTGGGTTTCATATCTGGATGAAATTTAAGGCTGCGATATTCAAACATGATTTACTTGTCTCCTTGTTGGCTTCAAGTCTGTGAAGCAATGAGATTATGTCTGGTTTGTTTGGAAACCAAATGAAAGATGTTTTCCAGCTTGTGAGAACAAGTCCCTGGGCTCTCATCATGGATGGGCATTTGTGGGAATGGACAGTCCAGATTTGCTCATTAGGGCTAACCTGAGGAGCAGTTCAGTGGGAAGCCTCCAAGAGAAGAAGGGTGATCACCACATGGCGTGACCAAAGCTGCAGCCTCTTGCATCCATGAAAGCTTTAAAATATGTGGTTAGAAAGAGAGAGACTTGCCCGATAATGTTTCTGATGAATCCCGCTTTGGTTGTGAATGTAGTTGTGCTATCTGGTGTCCAAGGAGGGAACACTGGTGGAGCCTCCTGACAAAGAGAGTGTGTCTGTGCACTGAGGCAGGTTTAAATAGTTTCATCCCATCAGAAAAAGAGAACATGGGGGAGTTAATCTCTTCAGGGGAGTTAATCTCTTCAGAGAAGGCATTCAGCACTTCACTTGATGTTATAAAGTCATGCTCAGGCAGGCATGGAGAGGTGGCCAGTGGTCCCCAGTATGACAGGAGCCACATCCACCCTGGGTGATGCTGGGAGAGGTGCCCAGCTCCAGGCAGCTTCAGCTCTTCTGCTTCTGTTCCAGCGAGGCAGGAGCAGCTCCAGGGCAGTGAAGGGTGTGGGTCAGAGGAGGAATAAACCCATTCCAAAGGGAACTGTGGGCTCATTGGCAGTGGGCGGGTGGGACGCTGTGTCTGTGCTTGGTGGCCAGTGTGGTCCGTGTCACTGGAGGGCCATTCATCGCTTGCTGTCTGCATTCCTAACGCGTCTGTCTTGTCCCTCTGTCTGTCTCCATGCCCTGTGCTCAGGTGCTGCGCTGCCCGCTCCGGGAGGGTCGCTCGGCAGCGTGAACGGATACCACACGTGCAAAGGTGAGCTCGCTGTCCCCGCTGTGCCGCGGCCACCTCCCCATCCTCCCTGTCTGTTTGTGTGCATTTCCATCTGTGAGAGTACAAACCCCAGTGTGGCACCATCAGCATCTCATCCCGAGTGAAACGAGCTGGTGGAATTCCCAGCCGTGCCGGAGCCACGGTGCTGGAGGACCTAGGTCAGGCTGAAGGATGCAGAGGGGCAGCTTTGGGGAGTGAGGGCACCCTGACACACCATCAGTGGTGTTAAGAGCTGATAAATGGGAGATGGTTTTAAAGCCTGCCATTAAATTTATTGGTTCTGAGGGATTATAACAGTATCCAACCCTTCAGTTTGAAGAGCAGTTTTAATTATTGCCCGTTATCTGCTGTTAGTGCATTGGTTCAGCGAGGTAATAGGTGCATAAAAATGGCTTTATATTTCGGTGTCAAATCCTTTAACCTTGTACCAGCAGTGACCTTGTGGGGGGGGGAGCTCAGCCTGCACCATCTCATCCACACAAAGGCATTTGCTTTGTTTGCAAACTGTCAGCGTGTGGACACGGCGTGGCTGGAAGGGCCCCTGGGGCATGAGAGGGGAGGTTGATGTGACACTGTTCTGCAGCAGGGTGGACAGCAACACAGCCTCTTCCTCCTCACGCTTGGCTGGCTGTGGCTGCCCAGGGCTAGATCAGTACCTGATAGCCCAGGTGAAGACAGGCAGTGTGAGCAGTGTCCTCACCTCGGGCTGCTTTTTGGCAACAGATCTGACTGAGATCCAGTGCGATGTGTCCGATGTGACCCAGCAGTACCAGGGCCTCGGCGCGGCGCTGCGGGAGCGCCAGCAGCAGCTCTCGGCTATGCTGGAGAAGATGCAAGAGGTGCAGGAGGAGGCCAGCTCCATGCTGAAGTGGCTGGAGTCGAAGGAACGAACACTGTCGGAGCTGGACGCCTCCTCCTCGCCCACCAAGACAGAGACGATGAGAGCCCAAGCTGAGCACAACAAGGTAACGTCTCTTCCGGAGCAAAAACTGGATCAGAGCATTTCCTCCCAAAGGAGCTCGGAGATGGGCTTTATTACAGCAGGACTAGGAGGTTAAAGAAGGGCTTTCCCCAGAAGGGATCTCATGCAGGTCATGGAGCAGGAGCCCACGCACTGTGCTCAGCCTCTTTTCTTCTAGACCTGCTGCTCTGAGGCATTTGGCTCGGGAAAAGGAGTTTATCTATAGCCCTTGTTGCTGGGTCACTCCAACTTCTCCTGGAAAGCAATTCCCAGCCTTTCCCTGCTCTTGGAGCCAAGTTAGCTCACGATATTGCTAATAAAATGAAATGATTTCATTAAAGAGCAAAGAGCAGAAATTGCCCAACTCCAGCTTGTAGCCGCTGCTTCATTCCTTCTTGGTGATTTCAGTCTTTTGCCCTACATCTGAAGAAGTACCAATGATTGTTTTCCAGGCATTTCTGGCTGAATTGGAACAGAATTCAGGGAAGATCCAGAAGGTAAAGGAAGCACTTTCTGGCTTGCTGGAGAAATACCCAGATTCTCCAGAAGCAGCGAACTGGAAGAAGATGCAGGAAGACCTGAGTAAGTGCCTGAAGCACTTAGTGAGGCTCCTGTCTGGAAACATCATGTTGGAAGGGGCTTGGGGTTGCAGGGTCCTTCCAAAGTCACAGCAGAGCAGAGTCACTTCCAATTAAAATGCAGTAAATAGCAAACTTCTCTCCAAGCTGTCTGGTGTACAAGGTGTTCCTGAGATGAGCACTGTCCTGATTAATGAGATCTCTATGATGGATGTGGATTTTAAAGACTTGCCTCCTTAAATTACTTCTTAAAGAAGGAGGGGAGGGAGTGGGGGGGAAGTATTAGCAACGTGAGTTGATTATTTTGATTAAAAGCTTCATTGCTTCATATAAAATTCCAGGCATTACTAAGGCTGTCCTGGGTAGTTAACTGTTGACCAAACAAGACTGTTTCTTTAATAAGAAGCCCATAGGTTCTCTTCTTTGAAATAGCAGGAACCTCTTTATGGAGTTCTCTGTCCAGGAGATCTGAATGTGCTGTGTGAGGACTGATACCCATGAGAGCATCCTCATGGATCCAGCCAGGTTTGCTCGGTGGCTCACCCAAAGCCAGACCAGCTCATGGCAGTAGTGACCAGAGTGTAGAAATCCTCCTTGCAAGGTTTTCCTATGAGCTTCAAGACCATGTAGCCATTAGAAACAGCTTCCTAGGTGGAGAATGAGTAGAGCCACACTAGCTTTACTGACAAGCTGAGGCTTCTTTCTATCGGGGGAGCCACGGGGAGGGTAAAAATGCCTCTTGGTGGAGGGGTGGGCATGATCACCATTAACACAGCCCGTGCTTCAGATTGCAGGTGGGAAAGAGCCAGCCAGGCGACGGCTGCGCGGCAGCAGAAGCTGGAGGAGTCAGTGAACCAGCTGGCCAGCTTCCAGGCTGCTGAAGCCCAGCTCCGGCCTTGGCTGATGGAGAAAGAGCTGATGATGAGTGTGCTGGGACCCCTCTCCATCGACCCAAACATGCTGAACGCGCAGAAGCAGCAGGTCCAGGTGAGCTGGGAGCTGTGCACGCAGCTCCAGAGTGCGTTTGGGTCAAGAGGGGAGGGTGTCTCATCCAGTACATGAGGTGGAAGATTGCGCTTGGAGATGTCTTACAGTGAGTGCTGGGAGACCTCATGGCTCCTCCAAACCCTGCTGTGAGTAACTCGAAAGGGAGCTGTGCTCAAGCTCCCTTCCCCGCACTGCATTGACTCATCAGTGAATCACTTGGCCTCTCTTGGAGAGTGAAATTGCTTCAAACAAGACCTGTGCTGATGCTCAGCAGGACTCACTAATGCTGCCCCTCCGCCTGGCAGCCTGCCCTTTCCCAACCTCTTGCTTCTCAATCCTAATGTGTCCGTAACTGGCTGCATCAGAAAATGAAATACCCCGGTTAACATCATCTGATTTTCTCATCTGGCTGGTTTGTGTTGCATTACACAGCAGTAGGACAAATAGGAGAGAGCAAAGTACAGAAGTCATGGACCCCTCCTAGCTTTTTAAGTTGGAAGGTCACAGTACATCCCGTCTACCCAGCCCAGGGCTTGATAAAGCCCCTGGAGGTCTGCTCTGTTTTGTCTGTGTGTACTCGGAGCTGTCAGTTTTATGCAAACATTTGTATGTTATTTCTATTCCAGTTTATGCTGAAGGAATTTGAAGCTCGCAAACAGCAGCACGAGCAGCTCAACCAGGCAGCTCAGAGCATCTTGACTGGCCCTGGAGATGTTTCTCCATCCACTAACCAGGTGCGGGAAGAACTCCAAGGGGTTAATCAGAAATGGTCTGAGCTAACAGAACGGCTCAACTCCCGCTCCAGCCAAATTGATCAAGCCATAGTGAAGAGCACCCAGTACCAGGAGCTGCTCCAGGGCCTGTCGGAGAAGGTGAAGGCAGTTGGGCAGCGCCTGAGCAGCCAGTCTGCCATCAGCACACAGCCCGACGCCGTGAAGCAGCAGCTGGAGGAAACCAGCGAGATCCGCTCGGACCTGGAGCAGCTGGAAGAGGAGATCACGGAGGCTCAGACCCTCTGCGATGACCTCTCTGTCCTCATCGGGGAGCAGTATCTCAAAGATGAGTTACGGAAACGTCTGGAGACAGTGGCGCTGCCTCTCAAAGGGCTGGAAGACCTGGCAGGTGAGATGGAGCAGAGAACTTGGTTAAGAGATGTAGAGATGTCAAACTCCACCCCTGCTTTTTGCCTAAGGGCTCTCCCGCTACTGGGTTTCTAAGAGTAAACAGATTTATTGGTTTTTAGGGTGTTTCATAAGTGTTTTATGTGGATCTAAGCACAGGAGAGTTCACACTCCAGACATACCTGAGCCTGGGGAGCGAGTTTAGTCCCTCTGATGTGGCTATTCAAGCCTGCCTGGCTCACAGCACTGTGCCATGTGCTGTGCTTGGGGTGGAAAAAAAGGGTTCCTAAATTCAGAATGGGGCATGAAGAAGACCCAGTGGCCACCCTCTGACCTTGAGATGCCTCTTCTGGTTTCTAAGAGGTTGCATTTAGGAACTGGCCAGGAGAACTTGAGACTCCTGTGTTATCATTGCTTGCTACTATTAAGGAAATTTATGAATCAGTGAGCCAAAAGGCCAGTGATGCAATGGAAAGCTCCTTCCTGTTAATCAAAACACAGTTGGTGCATCTGAGCTGATTTTAAATAACTGCACTTTGCTTATTTGATTTCAGCTTAATTGTTGTGTTCTAATGTCATTCCCGTTTCAGCCGACCGGATGAACCGACTGCAGACTGCGTTTGCCAGTTCCCAGCAGTTCCAGCATATGTTTGATGAACTCAGGACCTGGCTCGATGACAAACTGTGCCAGCAAGCTCAGAGCCAACCCATTTCTGCTAAACTGGAGAGGCTACAGAGCCAAATTCAGGAACAAGAGGAGTTCCAGAAAAGCCTCAACCAACACAGTGGCTCCTACGAGATGATTGTAGCCGAGGGAGAATCTTTGCTGCTTTCCGTCCAGCCTGGGGAGGAGAAGACCACTCTGCAAAACCAGTTGGTCAGCCTCAAAACACACTGGGAAGAGCTCAGCAAACAAGCTGCCAACAGGCACTCTAAGCTCAAGGACTGTTTGCAGAAAGCTCAGAAGTACCAACGGCATGCAGAGGACCTCCTGCCTTGGGTGGAGGACTGCAAGGCAAAGGTGATGGAGCTGGAAGTAACTCTGGATCCAGTGCAGCTGGAGGCAACTCTTCTGAGATCAAAGGCTATGCTGAGTGACGTGGAGAAGCGCCGCTCCTTGCTGGAGATGCTGAACAGTGCTGCTGACATCCTGATTGATGCTTCTCAAACCGATGAGGATGACATTCGGGATGAGAAGGCTGGCATCAATCAGAGGATGGATGCCATCACAGAAGAGCTGCAAGCCAAGACTGGCTCCATTGAAGAAATGTCACAGAGGCTCAAGGAGTTTCAAGAGAGCTTCAAGAACATTGAGAAGAAGCTGGAAGGGGCGAAGCACCAGCTGGAGATCTATGATGCACTGGGGCCACAGGCCTGCAGCAACAAGAATTTGGAGAAGCTCAGGGCACAGCAGGAGGTGCTGCAGGCCCTGGAGCCACAAGTGGATTATCTGAAAAACCTCACTCAAGGTCTAGTAGAAGATGCCCCAGATGGGTCTGACTGTTCCCAGCTCTTAAGCCAAGCTGAGGTGGCTCAGCAGGACTTCCAAGCTGTGAAGCAGAAAGTCAATGACTGCTGTACACTCATGGAAAACAAGCTTGAAGGGATCGGTCAATTCAATAATCGGGTCAGGGAGATGTTCTCCCAGCTGGCAGATCTTGATGATGAGCTGGACAGCATGGGCCCCATTGGGAGAGACTCTGACAGCCTTCAGTCCCAAGCAGAGGACGTTCGCACGTTCCTGGGCAAACTCCACAGGCTGAAGTGTGACATTGAAGCCTCTGAAAGTGAATGTAAGAAGATGCTGGAGGACGAAGGGAGCCCCGATTTATTAGGACTGAAACGTGAGCTGGAGACACTGAATAAACAGTGCAGCAAACTGACAGAGAGGGGCAAGAACCGCCAGGAGCAGGTAGAAACGACACTGTCTCGTGTCGAGGACTTCTACAGCAGGCTGAAAGAGCTGACCCACATGACAACCGCAGCGGAGGACAACGAGGCGTTGCAATGGGTGGTGGGAACAGAGGTGGAAACCATCAACCAGCAGCTGGCAGACTTCAAGGTAAGTCTTTATGCTGTAGCTTTTCTTAAATGGTGTTTGGTGTTTGAAGGTCTGCCTAGTGTTGTGGTCTTTTGTGTAGGACCTTGGGTCTTCAAGCTGTCACGGCTTTGCTGTTCGTTGCTGTCATGTCAACAGCTTTGGTATAATAAAGTAGCCTTGCTCTGGAGGATATAGCAGATCAGCTGCTGGAGTTGATTGTGGTGAAAAGGTGCAGAATGGTTTTGCTATTGGAAGGGAAAAGCCTTTTCCTTGTTCTCCTTGAGATGTGTAATGTTGGTGTGCCGGTAGCTCGTGGGCTTGTAGACGTGGTTGGCCTTTAGGTTTTGGGGGAGGGAGGGTTGGTTTGGAGTCCATCTGAACTGTAAGTTGGCATCATTTGAGAGTCTAGTCCGGATCAAATCATCCTGCAGGTCTTTCTAGCTGGCCCACCTTTCTTGCTGGTTGTTCACTTCGTCTGGGCCACATATTACACCCATTTTGGGGTCCTTGGGTACAAGTAAAGCCACAGATAAGCTGTGGGACAAGGGGACACACACAGGGAATAAAACCAAGGCCAAGTTTTGCTGTGGGCTGTTCATGTTCCCAGCAAAGAGTTGGTGGAGACCATCAGGGCTTGCATGAAATGCTGAGAGGGGAGGGTTGAGTGTGTTTGCTGGTTTTTCACACAGTATTATGCTGTTGGGTCCTGCTGTTGCGCTATGTTGATTATATTAATCCTGCTCAGAAGCTCTCTTGCTGTGACACTTCCATTACTGGTGTGCTCGGTGGCTGCTGATTGGGTTGATGTACATCTGGCTGCTGGTTTCCTGGAGTTAATGAGGGGGTGGGAAGGGGAGGTGGTTTTACAGCCATTTACTCCTCATCTCATGGCTAACTGATCCTGTTCCACCTCTTAATAGCTCTGTGAAACCTTCACCTGGATCAAGTATTCTTGTTTTGGGGATTGCCTATCCAAAAAGTTGCTTGGAAGTGTTACTTATGGGGCAAACTCAAGCTCATCTGATGGTTTTGCTGTTAACTCTTGTGTTGGGCAGTGTTTTGCATTGAGCTTGTATTGACTGGAAGGATTTAACTTCATCCGTGAACACCACCGAGGAGTCTCTTGGAACAAATGTATCCCAAAAGGAGTTTCTAGTCCTTAAACCCAGTGAAACTTTCCTACAGAACAAGGGCTTATTCCCAGCTGAGCAGCTCTCATTAGAAATGATGAGGAAACCCAGGGTTGGTGCAGATTGCTTGGTTGGGGTTGGCAGGCACAGCTTAACCCCTCGCAGTGCTTGCAAATGGTCTAGATCTCAGTGACCTTGAGGTGACCTCAAGCTCAGTGACCCTTTAAGATGATGGTGGCCTGGGCTGCATGAGCCAGGGGTGCTTTGGGAGGTGATGTGTCTTTAGCAGGGGTCATTCGTTGGCCACGTGGTGCATTTGGGGTCTTTGTTGGTGGAAGCCCGGCAGTTGCAGCAGCAATGGTGGGGTTTTACTGTGTAATGGCTGAGAATGAAATGGGGGAGAAGCAAGAAGGGGGATGGAGCAACCGTGGTTACGCAGCAGCATTCCTCCCCTGCACGGTTCATCCCGAGAGCAGGCACTGCTGCACGGCTCCTGAGTGCTGCAGAGCACATCTTTGCAAAGCCTCACCTTATGATTCTCTCCAAGGGGAAATGCAATCCCAGATACTCATCTGCACATGGAAGGGACCGGCTGCACTCCAGACGTGCGGGAGGGAGAGCGCTGGAGAAGCTTGGCTTAGGCTCTGGGGGAAGTGGGGACCTCGGGGGGCTTCTCTTGGCTGCGCCAGGCTTTTCTTTCTCAGCGCCTAAGACAATATCACAACTGTATCCCTTCTTGGATCGCAATCAAGATGCAGGAGAGCGTGTCCAGGGGGACCAGAGGCAGCTCCTGGGTTGGGAAGTGCTCCCGGGGCAGTGTGGGAACGATGCAGCTGAGCGCAGGGAGCAGGATGGGGTGGTTGGAGCCGTCGTGGTCGGTCTGTCCAGAAGGCTCAAATGCAGGCAGATATTATGTCTTAAGGCATTAATTTTAATGAACATCTGTGTAAATGAGATGCAAATCAGGCATGGCCCCAGGCCTCCCGGCAAGTTGCCAGTGCCGCCCTGACAAAGGTGGGCACTTCTGGACTCATTGTGTCCAGATTTTAATAAAGAAGATCTATTGAAGCTCTGATGGAGGCCGTGAACAGATGACTCCTGGAGCAGTTTATTCTTGAAACTCCCCATAGTTTTTTTTTCCTGCAGACACCCCTCAAACTTGCCCCATAAGGCCACAACCTCCAACAAACCCTTAGCTTTTGGAGAACTGCCACCCATGCATTTCCTTTCTCCCCTCCAGCCCCATTCCCAGGCCACAGAGGGACTAATCCTGGCTGTGGCAGGGGGGGGAAAATGTAAATGCTCCTCCTGGCCGGCTTTCTCGGAGGCAGGAGGCTGGGAAGCAGCTGTGGGATCTTGCTGGGATGGGGGAAGCTTTGTTTGCAGGAGGTGTTTCGGCTCAGTGAGCAGATGCGGTGATGGGGATGGCTGCACCAAGGGACTGAGCCCACGCCGGCTCCCACAGCCATCAGAAGCCAGGATGGTGATGTGGGGTGGGACTGGCCTGGGTAGGGACTGGTTTGGAGCACCATGGAGGATTGTAAGAAACCCATCTGGAAGGGAGTTGAAGGGGTCATCTAGCTTAGCTTCTAGTTTTATGGTGAGATCAAGTGCAGCTGAAAGGCATTTCTGTGGTTTGGAGTCTGTGCTTATATGGATATCCTGATGAATTGCTTCAGATAGAGCTATGCTGCAGAAGAAATAGCATGGGTTCAGCTTGTGTTAAGCTGGCAGAGCAAAGGAACCTCATCTTTAACTCCTGCTCTGCAGCAGGAGTTTAACCCAAGGGCCCGTCTTTCCATTGCTGCCTCTTTGAGGAGCATCTTTTTTGTATAAAAGGCTACTAAAAGGTGGAAGAATCTGTGCTGTGTCTCCATGAGCATCACTCGTCTGCGCTGGGCTCTTCAGCATGAGGAACCAGTGACAGCCACCAGCAAGAGCTCCTCGTAGGAGCTTCCAGGCTGGGGCAGTTCTTCCCCCTCCATTCTCTCTGCTGTCAGTTCAGGTTTCTCAAAGCTAATATTAAATTTTAATGGCTGGAATCAAATGAGCTGCAGTTGAAACGGTTCTAAATTGAACAGCTTATGTTGATTCCATTTAGCAAACAGCAGAATTCCACAGGGAAACAATTCCCCAGGTACAGATGAGGGACAGAGGGTCACACAGAGACATGTAGGGGTTTTCTCCGTCGCGTACTCTCAAGCATCAGCAGCCCGAGACCCCAAGTTACAACCCTTCATCCCAAAGATTGGGAGACTAATGCTGGCCTTTGGATCAAGCTTGTGCTGAGAGAGAGGCTTTGGACAAGGGTTGGAGGGACAGGACAAAGGGAATGGCTTTAACTTGCCAGAGGGGAGACTGAGATGAGCTCTGAGGCAGAAGCTCTTCCCTGTGAGGGTGCTGAGGTGCTGGCACAGGGTGCCCAGAGAAGCTGTGGCTGCCCCATCCCTGGCAGTGTTCAAGGCCAGGTTGGACC